GAGAGAGAGAGAGAGAGAGGCGCGAGCGGCAAATCGAGCTCGAGCTCTGATAACGCGCGCGGGCTCGCTTTAATTAAATGATGGGTGTGTCGATGAGCGAGCAAGCGAGCAGCGGAAATTGGCTGTCGTCACGAGAGGACGCGAATGGTTATCATTTTTTGAGGGATCAGAATGATCGCGTTTTGATTCCCCTCCACTAATTCAAGCAAACCGTCAACTGTAATTTGCATCGCGGAACGTTCGCGTCGTTAATTCGCGTGTTTTCTGTGGCCATAACGCGGCTCGGTTCAGTGATTTCTTCGTGATAATTCAGCGGCGGTTAATGCATCGCTAGTGTTGTATTTGCACTAAGAAAACTCTTTCAGTTATCAGAACAAACGCACTTTCGCCGTTTGATGATCGTTAGGGGAGCAGATCGAACACAGTTGTCGTTGCCAATCATCTTCTCATCATTTGTCATCTTAAGGCTTCTTGTACCGCCGCGGCCATGTTGAATTTGTGACGTTAGAAGCGAGGAACGACATACTGACGAAAGCTACGTGCTATTTTTCATAAAGATAATAATAATAAATATAGACCTCTGAGACTGCTTGAGTATGTTTGTAAAATTGTCTGAAAGGTATCCCTTACTCCTCTGACAATTAATAAACAGTCGTATAATAAATGGTGAAATAAGGCATACAGACAAAATAGACTCGTTTCATTCTTTCATATGCTTCATCTCATCATTTATTATTTATTGGTCATCAGGGGAAAAGGAAACCTTTCGGACAATTTTACAAGTGTGCTAAAGCAATCTCAAATGCTTTTTCGTCCATATGTACGTTTATTCAGAAGCAGCACGCAACTGACGTCAGCATGTCATTCCTCGTTTCTGACGTCACAAATCCGACATGGCCAGCGAGGTATATACAAAGAGCCTTAACAAACATGCATTGCCTGAGATATAAATCGCATTTGTTCTCGTTTACTTGGGTTAGTTGTGTCTCTATTGCAGAAGTGTTGCTTGGAGCAGCAAATTGAAAGTAATAATTCACTTGTTTCGGGGTAATTTGCTGCCCCGTATCAACAAATCATTTGTGTTGCGGGCATTAGTATTTTGTTGAATTATCAAAATTTCGTCAGTCAGTTTGAGTGTGTGTGCGCACGCGCACTGAAAATAAATTGATACGTATCATCATCAGAAGTGTGCGCGCGCTTTCATAAGGTTAATCGAATGAAGACGAAGCGTTTGTGCGTGAAAATATCTCCCCGGAGGTGCGATACCGATACCGCCGGCGCGGAAACGTTGATAAATAATGTCGCGAGACGAAACTGAAATTTTGATAAATTTGAGAAGTCGGAAGTCAGCAGTGGGAATAACGGAAACCCTAATGAGAGTGATGTATCATCTCGGCGAAATTGTCTTTATCGCGCGTCCGTCCGGATAATGAATGAATTAAGTTGGCCATAAGCCACGAAAGAAAATTACCCCGAATAAATAACACCCGCAGACAAAGCTGGGTGGCGACCGTATGAGAATTCTTGCTGACGGTAATATTTCCCGACCGTGTCGCTGCATTCGTAACTGTAAATTATCCCACAAAACGCGCTTTTACGTCGGCTGTGTTCTTCAAAGCCCGCGCTTTTAATCTGCGACCAATTTACACGTAGCCGCTTTATTACTTTCTCACATTCCCCGCACAGTTCACGCCGCACGATTTTTCGTATCTTTATTCAAATTTTCCTCATATTCAGAGTTCGATGGGATCGAATAGAAATTTCGACAACAGACCCAATTACGCAGATTTGCAATTGCACCATCCATCCTTCTCTCCCTCCCTCCCTTCTCCGCGTCCTCTCTCTCTCTCTCTCTCTCGCGCGCGCGCGCGCGCGCTTCGGTATCACGCTGCAACGCGCACTCCGTTGTTCCATAACAGGATAACCCTCTATTCTGCCTGCTGACTTTATTGACTGGAGCGGAGGAACACAAGCGCTTTACTTCGAATGTGAACATTGCGATGGAATATGTCAAAGAATCATGAAGAAAATGCGCAAGCCTCTTCCTCGGAGTGGAACGTTCTAGTGTATCCGACCATGTCGAGTGTAAGAACGAAAGAAAATAGAAATTCAAAGGGCCAGTTTTGTCGAGACTTTATAGAAAAGAGAGATAGACCGGGTAAATCTTTCTGCAATAGTCAGAAATATTACCAGCACGTTTTCTACGTGAATAAAGATGCGGGTCTCTTATTCTCTCGTGTATTCACGTCCAGCGAGAATTATCGTGCAATTATCGTGCGAGCTTCGAGTGCGAAATCACTCCGAGTCTGTGTGCGTGTGTTACTTTCAGTAATGCCAGAGATCTGCGCGGGTGAAGCGCGTAAATTTTTCATTGACGCGCGTGCGCGCACAAGGTAGGTTCGCACGCCGCGTTGTTGTCTGCTCAATTTATCTGCCGTTTTTCAAACGTCGAATAAGAACACGAGCGAGGAGGAGTTTTATATTGTGAGGGGTCGTCACGTGGAGATAGAACACTGTTCTCATCCAGAGCGCACGAGAATACATCACTTCGGCTTTTCTTTTTTCCCGAGAAATTATTCTCACTCCGATCGTGCCGAGATTATCGCCGCGGCCTGTACAATGCAACTTCCACGCGAGGGATGTTGAATGACGACGCTTTATATTATATTACGGTACGAAGTTTACTTCCACGGGTATCACCATTGAATTTTAGAGAGGCAGGAGGCGCGGAATTATCATACCGCGCTCTCTCGAATATTCTAGGCGCGCGAGGGGCGGCGCGGATAGGATGAAAAATGGCCTGCGGGGGATTGAAGAAAAAAAGAAAGGGAGGAAAAAAAAATTCTGCAACGATGTCCGCGATATAGTTCGCGGTAATGGCGAATTTATTCTCAATAGAAAGCTCGACGGCCGTGCAAAGATTAAATTGATCCTCGCCACGTCGCCGGCGCCGCCGCGTAAGAAAGCAAGAAAGTCGCGCGGCGAGCCACCTGTATAATTAGGCGTAGGCCGCGATAACAGTTACGAGGCTAACACGCATAAACGCCTCGCACACGCGAGATGGTGCGGGTCTGGATGTTTGCCATTTTTCAAACGCGACCGAGCGTGTTGGGAAGGGGTATGGGGAGGGGGGGAGTCGAAAAATCTTATCGTCGAGCAGGAGTCGGCGTTATATGGCGCGCGTGGTTACGAGGTCGGTACTTTTCGCAGGAAACTGCAAATCTCTTCCTGTCTAAGAACGAGTTATAATAACGCGCGCGCCGTGCGATTCCGCGAAATCGATTCCTCTGCACGTCGATGCACGCGCGGCAAGGCGCATGTCAGTGTTTCGCTGTAGGCGCCTCTGCACGGAGTGGGCGAAATCTGTGGCTGGCGTGGTATTATTCTAAAATTTGAAATGCGAGATTGTCTTATGAACGATACATGAAACACGCGCCGGCACACACGTGAGATATGTTTTATGGAATAGTATCGATTGTGCGCGGAGCCAAGTCTGAGTAACGATTACTCGAGCAAATGTTGCGTCAGCTTATCGCGTTGTACATCTCTGCGTGTCGTACAGTCTATGTGTTCCGACGGAATAATCTCGCAAAGATCGAATGATGATAACGAGATGAAGGATCTTTCGACGATTTCTCTTTCGTGCTTCGCACACAAGAGAGAAGATTTGGTAATCACCATTAATTAGGGAGATACTGATTCAGTTATCGCGAAGAAAATGATGAGATCTGGTCAGTAGTCGATTATAATCCATGTCATTCATTAAAATTGCTAGACACTACGTGGCTGAGTAATTCCGTTTGCAATGTCATTTGACAAGTATGACAAACGTTTTGCGCTAAGCTGATTATCATACGCTCACGCAAAAGAACAATTCCGTTGGTGTAGCTGAATGTTCTGTTAACCGGGGACCAGGCGAAAAACTCGTTTGTAGGAACAGAAAGATTCCCGTAGGAGATTTCTGCTCGGCCAATTGCTCTCAGTTATCTCAACCGAGTTCTAACGCAACTGAATGTCCAGGCGAATGCTTTCGGTCGCGGTAACGGAGATATTATTTCTTGTCAGTGAGTTTTTCATCTGATCCCCATTCAGTTACACGTGCTGACATTTTTTCCATATGCGCTGAAAGAAAAATCTCGTTAATAAGCATGAAGTTGAGCGTTTCAGTGCAATATTTGGTGATTGGTATCCAATCGTCTCTTTTTTAATAATTACAAAATAATTAGTAAAACAAATTTTTCATTTGATTGAACCAATTAATTGGTCTGGAAAATAATATCAAATAATTACGCAATAATTATTAAATGGCTTGACTATTTTATCAGAGTATTTGGCCATTTTGTATATTTATCACGCAATGTGGTAAATATTACTAAACAATGTAATTTTATTTAAAAAATTGTTTGACGACACGTGTCGCATATAAATAGCCATCAAGTCTTAACAAGAAATAGCAAGTCTTGGCAACAGATGACAAATTTTGCTGAGATTATTTGTTAATACAATATTTACAAAATTCTTTGACCATATTCATCCACACATATAATCTTCTGCTAACAACGTCGGGGTCGGATCCGACCCTAAACACACGTTGTTGGATATGTTCACAACTTTACATTGTCAGCAGAGGGTTAAAACTATCTCACCAAAGCATTAGTTAACTACTACCCAGACTTGGTTGTTATTACCAAGCTTTTTTCAATTTTTTACTTTATTCATTTTTCTCATTTCTGTAATTTATTTTTATCGCCGTGAGCAAATATCGAATACTACGAAGCGATATATACACGTGTCGCGTGAAGCGAAATGATATCAGTTGATATTGAAGATGTGAAAAATATCAGTTATCACGCGTTAATGATCAATCGATAAACTCCGGAAGCAGGTAGCAGCGGCGCTTATCTGAGCTGAGCTTATCTTAACTTAAGAAATGATAATATTCCAACGGCGCATCTGTTGTTGTGAATTTTTTACAGACGCGCATGTCGCAAGGTATAAAACCGCGCCGCGATCGACGATCGAGAAAACAAGTCGCGATGCTTCGCTCGTGTGTATCAGTCGTAGCGTTGGCCGTTCTGGCCGCCTCGTCGGTTCAGAAGGCGAACAAAGATTGGTACAAGAACAGTCTGGTGTACCAGATCTACCCTCGGAGTTTCAAGGATAGCAATGGCGACGGCATAGGCGACTTGAACGGCATCACGAGTAAGCTCGAGCACATCGCGGACATCGGGGCCCACGCGTTATGGTTGTCACCGATCTATACGAGCCCGCAGGTGGACTTCGGCTACGACATCGCCAATTTTACCGACGTCGACAGGGTTTACGGCACTCTGGTCGACTTCGACCGGCTCGTAGCGAAGGCCAAGTCCCTCGGGTTGAAGGTGATCCTCGACTTCGTGCCGAATCATAGCTCGCACGAGCACGAGTGGTTCAAGAGGAGCGTCCAACGGATCAAGCCATACGACGAGTACTATGTGTGGCGCGACGGTAAGATGGTAAACGGCACTAGGAAGCCGCCGAACAACTGGCTGAGCGTATTTCAGGGCTCCGCCTGGGAGTGGAATCCGACGCGTAAACAGTATTACCTGCACCAATTCGCCGTCGGTCAGCCGGATCTCAACTACCGCAGCGTCGCGCTGCAGCAAGAGATGAAGAACGTGCTGAAATTCTGGATGAATCGGGGCGTGGAGGGCTTCCGCATCGATGCTATCAATCACTTATACGAGGACGCCCGTTTCCTGGACGAGCCCCGAAGAAACGTGTCCGGCTTGCCGGACGACGACTACGACATCTTGGATCACATCTACACGAAGAATCTACTCGAGACTTACGACATTCTCCAATCGTGGCGACAGGTGTTGGACAATCATTCCAAGGCCGCCGACACGAAGATGATCATGACCGAAGCCTACACGGACCTCAATCTCACCATGCTGTTCTACACGTCGGGCTCGAACGTACCCTTCAACTTCATGTTCATCGCCGACCTCAACAACAAGTCCAGCGCGGCCGATTTCAAGCTAATGATCGATAATTGGATCAACAACATACCTAACAACGCGGCGTACGTCGCGAACTGGGTGGTGGGCAATCACGACAACCATCGAGCGGCCTCGCGATTCGGCGTGAAGCGGGCTGACCAGCTCTCCATGTTGGCGACCGTCTTGCCCGGCGTGAGCGTGATTTACAACGGCGACGAGATCGGCATGGTCGACCGACCGTTCACGTACGAGGAAACGGTGGATCCCGCCGGATGCAACGCCGGCCCCGACAGGTACTATCGCAGCTACCGATGAATACGAATCACGTTCTCGTATCGTTAGGTAACGCGATAGATTTGGAACCGTATCCAAATCCGTACATATCATTTGTGTACACGCGCGTATTTAACACAAATCTCTCTACAAATTTCCGTCTCTCCCGTTCAATTAATAATTTTGACCGTTAAACGCAGAGCGAGCTATCTTTCTTTGGCCAATTATTGGCCACCGAGTATGAGTTTCACGTGAAATTTTTCAAAAGCTCCTGTATAGCTCAAAAATGGTGTTCTATAATTTTATTCAAACGCGGAAAAAATTTGGCAAATACGTAAAAAAAATTTAGCAAAAGAAGAAAAATCCACGGTAAAATGAGTTTTTCTTTTTACTCTTATCAAACCACCTTTCAAAAGGGTAAAGGGTAAAGGGTTAAAGATTTTTTAGCTCTTCAAAAATTTTACTGCCTGTATTCCTTACACACTGAGAGAGAAAAAATGATTGATCTAACTAAAATTATAGTTATTTTTGGCCCTAATCAGATGTTTTGTTGTTTTAACACGGAAATAGCAGTAGTAACATGCATATAAGGTTATTAATGTTTTAGTAGAATTTAATAAAAAATAGCTTTCTCTTGACCATAATCTATATAATTATTTCTCTATGTGATCATAGGTATAAATACCAATACATTTTTTCTTAGTGTAGTGATTACTCTTTAAAGTACAGTCAGTGTATTTCTCATTGAGATGCTGTACTTGATACTATACTGATTATGCAGATATAAATACAACAAATACAGTAATAAAATCTCGCCGAAATGATCAGTTAATAATAGCGAGTGTTACCATTATTCATGCAGTTTGCAAACATAGACAGTGCTTTCGCACGCAAATTGCATTTCGCAAGCCGTTGATTCCATCACCATAAGCGCGGAAAGTTGGATTTCGTACAACGTATAACAGATTTGTGTACTAAAGATTCTGTAGTGAAGTCTTACTTCCATTGATCACACACACACAATCAGAGCGAGATATAAGACGGAGCAGTGAAGCGGCAATGTTTCCATTGAAAATCAATGAACAGTTGATTATCGGTGAAACGCTTTCTTTGCCGATTTAATCAGAAATATTCTGATTGAATCAACAAAAAAACTGACTGAACTAAACGAGCGTCGTCGTGTTTTTAGGTATCAACTGAAGTCGCGGGATCCAGAGAGAACGCCTTTCCAATGGGACAACAGCACGAGCGCCGGTTTCTCCACGAGCACCAAGACTTGGCTGCCGGTCCACGACAATTATAAGACCCTGAATCTGGCGGCGCAGAAGACCGCGGCCGTGTCGCATTACAAAGTATTCAAGTCCTTGGCGCGGCTGAAGCGGAAGCCCGTCATCGAGCGAGGCACGCTCCAGACCGTTTTGGTCGCCGAGAAGATTCTCGGAGTGGTGCGACGACACGGCAGCTCCGTCGTGGCGCTCATGGTTAATTTCGCCGATGCGCCGCTCACCGTCGACGCCAGGACCTGGATGAATATTCCGGAGCAGCTGATCGTCTATGCGCCCAGCGTGCACTCCAAGCTGCTCGCAGGATCGCGCGTCGACACGACTCGCATCACCGTGCCCGCCTCGGCCTCTGTTGTGCTCGCCACGGTGGATTTGCTTTAGTAAATTCTCGCCTATCTCGAGCGCGTTCTCCCGGTTAACTGTGTCCCCGTTAACACGAGGTTTGTCCAACTGTACGTGTACCATAGCGACGTGTGCTGGTTTACCGCTGGCGGATCGTCTTGTGGGAACGAGAGCGACGGATGTGAATGGATTGAACATGAACAAACGTGGGGATGTATATTTTGTAAATAAGCGAGCGATCCTTTGACGTCCGGCATGCCGTCGGCGACTCATTTCGATGAGGGGGATTAAATATTGCGATAGCACTTAAGATCGACGATAAGTTTGCTCGTTTCTGTGTACTTGTACCAAATTTCATTATCCAACAAAATAAATTTCATCCAAGTTGAAAGTAGAAAGTTCTTTTCTCGTGTAATGGAGTAGAAAAACAGCATGAATTACGCGTTGCGTAATAATATCGATTGGATACTCGAATTATCGGGGTTCCCGCGTTATCACGATAATTAATTTCGGTAAATGTTCAATTTGTGGCCATCTTCGGTGAATATATATTATGAGGTTGATGATTCTGAATAACACAAAAAGTTTTTACTTGGTAGTCATGATTTATTAAAAAGCTATTAACAAATAAAGATTCGTTATTATTCAGCGGTTTTTGTCCAAGACAAAATTTATTATTGTGCTTGACTCAAATCTTATCTTCGTGACCTTGAGTTCCAAGGACCATTATAAAAGTTAATGCCGCAGTCAAAAACTGTTAATTGAAAAAGCAATGAAAGAGAATATTGGAATAAATAATGATTATTTTATTCCGCATTTTTTGTACGGTTTTTTTGAGTCACGTGCGATAGTACGATAAAAAAAGGTATAAGTTTTATCTATTTTATGTCAGCAATAAAAATTGCAGTAATAAAAATGTGAAAAACATATATAAGACGAAAATTCAACGATCTAAAACATAACTTTGGAATGACCTAGACTATGAAAACTTGATTTGATTTAGATCATCGATTTCGCATATCTACTTAGTATGTGCCGTACCAAATATAAATTTCTGTATCAAAGAAAATAAATAAAAATATTAGGAAGAGAAGAATGAATAAAGTTATATATATCTGCAAAAAAATAAAAAGAAAACATGGAAACCTGTTTTAACTAGAAAGTTCCGTGTTTTCAAGTCCGGTACGAATTCGTATTTACGATATTTTTTTCGATAGGGGTAAAAGACATATAGCTTCATATTTCATCTATCACGGATAATGATGATTCTCGCGGGCGTAAAGTGGATACTGCATATCTTTACGAAGTGTAAAACGACAGGAAATAATAGCATGGCGAACGTATTGTATGTTTCACGATAACGTTTGATTCTCTGCGGTGATGGCAATGGCAATGGCAGCTTGCGCGCGCGCGAGAGATCTCTCTATAAATATTAGTCTTTGACAAATACCGACGGTACTTTATCCAGTCCGATTTACATTACAACTCACAACTACGCTGTTTGTTGTTTATGTCTATGCGAATAAACGAGTAGCCTGCGACACGCCGAATATTATTTGCTATTGGAAAATCTGCAAAATCCCGATACACGTACGCTTGCGCGCCGCGCACACGAATACGCTTTGCCGTTCGGCAAATATAGCAAGACAAGCAGAATTTGGACATCTGTCTGATTTACGATTTCATGTATTTGCAAAAGCGGCTTAGCGAAATAACACTGAGTGTTATAAAAAACATCAAAAAGTTTATTACGCGTAGTACTCGCTAAAAGGATTAACAGGATCTTGTCAGCTCACACTTCTCGCGCCGATTCCTTTGCATATTTCATGTTCCAACGATGCGAGTTACTCTACCTGCGTTACTCACTTTCGTTTACGGGATAAACTCACGTCGCTCGAGAGCCATCCTTATCTACAGGTATCATTAATACGCCGCGAGAACCTCTTCTGCATGTCACCGACGAGGTGCATTCGCACAAGCTAAAAGATCCCCAAAGCGATATGAAACGCAAGACTCTCAGATATTCAATTAAACTTGACGAAGAAGGAATCGATGTGACAATCTATCAACACAGCTGGTAACGCGCCAATGTGAGACACGAATTATATGCTCAAAAACTTGAGATATATTCACATCTCGCGCATGATGCGGACCCTTATCCCGATTGATAATGCAAAATTCAACAAATGCAACATTCACTTCATACTTGACCGCAACGCGGGCCAGCGAGGAAACTTTCGTATTTTCCGTCGCAGTGGCGCAGGACAGGAGGAGCAGAGAGCGGAGTGGAGCGGAGCGGAGCTGCGCGTGAGGAAGGAAACAGATCTACTGCGGGAAAGCCGATAGTTCGATCACAATGGCTAAGACGTCAGGCCGCGAGAGAGAGACGGGTTTGTGCACGTGTCCTCGCTCTCGTGTGCACATGAGTAGTCGGGAAAATTCTCGAGTTTTCATGCCGACAGCCGGCACTATGCACCGGCGCGCTGCACCAATCACGCTGAGTGCACATTCTTCAACCTCCTCTCTGTCTCGCGGTCTGTCTCTCTTCTTTCCTACCATCTCACCCTCAACCTTTCTCTCTCGTCCCCAAGACAGCCCAGAAGAGATGCGCCACTCCCGCTACCAGCAGGCAGGGCGGCTTCGTTTGTGTATCGTGCATATAACGTGCATGTGCGACGGGCATATGCGGCAGCCGGGATGCGCGCGGATCGGCGAAACGGCTTGCATTTTCAACCGCCGCTATCTTTCTTCCGAGGTTTTTCTTCCTCTTCTTCCTCTTCTTCTTCATGGTTCGCGACCAACCGCGACCGGATATTCGGTGCTGGAACCTCGGCGGCGACGGCGACGGCGGCGGCGGCGGCCGCCGTCGTATCTTGTTTACTCACCGGTAACTCAGAGACTCTTAATTAATTCACGTATTCTCTCTCCCTTTCCGCCTTTACTGCCCCTTTCCACCTCCTCTTCTCTACCTGTTTACTCGCCGCTACGCTCGTTTTTCTTTCAGTTGCGCTTTCTTCTTGCTTCTCCTACTCTTTTGGCTTTGTACAGCGCAGGTAATGGACGTCCGAGCGAAACGCGGCTCGTGATACTCCGGCATCAACAGCGGCGGCAGCGATTCTCTTCGCGTATTTCCTCGCTTTCAGCATACGCGCTCTCTCCTTCTCTCTCTCTCTCTCTCTCTTTCCCTCTCTGATATTTAAGAGTATTCGAATAAATGAAAAATGTTCGCCTGTATATATGCGCACTCGCGCGCACGAGTGTCGTGCGTATTGCAAGTACAAGGCAATTGCTGACGGTAACAACATAGACGCGCGTCCGCTTCGCCGACGCGGAAAATTGTTTCGCGTTTCGCTTAATTATGCAAGGAAGTGTACGAATGCAATCTGCCATGTTAAAGGTCAGCGTATTCACAGACGAATCCTTTGTAAAGCTTTTCTTTCTTTTCCTCTTTAGAGAGCAACCGTCGAGCGACTAAAGGGAGCAACGGGCGAAACAATTGCTACCCAAGTACCGCTGGATAGCGAAGATGAGACGCGGAATATGTAACGACAATCTCGAAATGCATGTTAATGTTCGTAGAGGGAACATTTCGTATGTATTGTCAGTGAGATAGTTTCGAGTCAGAGTGAAAGATTCTTCGTTTTTTTTCTTTTTCATGAAATTTTGTGACTGCGAGCGTAATATGTTGAGAAAAAAAGAAATACTTGGAAATTCATTTGTGGGATATAAAACTGGTCTCCGTGAAATAATCGCGACAATTATTCTTTTACTTCGACCCGCAGTGATATAAACTCGATATAAACCTCGTCGCTGTTACAACAGACGCGAAACAAAGAAAGGATCTGAGCGGTTCGGTCGCGTGTCGCTCGTGTTAGACAATATTAATGAATGAGCGTGAGAGATGTAAAAGAGCGATGTGTGGTATATTGTGCTTCGAGTTACGGCGCGACGCATTTTACGTCACTTTTAGCATCACGGCCGTCGAGCTTCACGGGAAGATTAGCATTTCGGAATAATACTATTTCGCTAGGCGCGGTGTGTAGGCGACTATTAAACGCCGCGCGCTATCTATGGCTGATTGCGCTGTAGCCTCGATTTACAACACGCCATCACGTGGAGCTGCATAAAATAATCTCTGTCCGAGCATTAGCCCGCTCGCCCGCCCGCCCTCCCTCTCTTTTTATGTGCATGCGCCGCGACTACCCTTACTGAATGGACGCCATATACTAAGTGGATTTTATGCACGCCCTGAATCCAATTATCCTGAATAATTTATCGCCGAATCGCAGACGTTAATGACATCGGGCCGAATTAGGCAAGCTTTTCATAATGGTATCATAAAAAATAGCGGCGTGTACGGCCCGCTCGTCCTTTATCGTTAATGAATCATCGTCAGTAAGAGCGAATGAAGCCTGACGGTCCCTCAGCGTCCCGAATTATCGATCAGTCGTGCCTTGTATTCTACGTGTCTCGTAGAAGTATTAATTAGCTTCTCAATTTGGCGATAATGCATCCGCTATATGATTAATGGCTGGATTAGTTCTTCCATACGCTTGTAAACGAAATTATTAATTACGAATCAATTATCGAATTATTAATTAGACGCGAGGAAATGAAAAGAGGAGACACTTGTCGAATACAATATGTATAATATGAACCCTCCTGCGTTTGCGACAAAACATTTTGCATCAGTAAACTGTCTATTCCTCGTATGAAGAAATTTCAGGGTCCGTTTGATGAATTGCAACGAAATAATATTAACGTTTAAAAAGGAAGGGGAGGGAGAGGGTCCATGATTCAAGAGACGCTGAGAACTTTTTTTCTTTATTCGTGTCAGGCGCAAAGTTCGCATCGATGAGATTAAAGCGATATCGCTTCGCGAGATATTCGAGGGGGCTGAACGGCCGGGCGCGTAACGCGATTGTTGCTAGTAACACAATTCGTTAACAAAATTGTCATTCGCGTAATAGTGTAGCGCATACGCGATGCGTGTGCCTGCGGGCGACGTGAATGGAATTTTATTTTCATTGTTTCGACCGATATTATTCACGCATCATTGACTGAATTTTCAGTGTATGATAACGCGCGCGCGTTCACTTTTTCCACTTCTATTTATAAATATCTCATGCATTTAGCGCATTCGCTGAACATTGTTACGCGTGCGCGCGCGCGTCCAGCGGTGTGAACGGAAATAAATGTTAGGGGGAGAGAGGGAGGGAGAAAAAAACGAGGCACGGCCAAATGGATGCGCGCAATGCAGCGCGTATCGGATACTCTTTTGAAACACACGTTTTTGTCGTGTCGTTCTGCAATAAGAGTCATCGCCCGGTAGTCGATTTGTATTCAGGTGCGCCGCAAAGGGAAACTATCTCGACATCGGATTAATTGGATAAAAAACAAAGCATTAAATTGTGACGATTTATACAGCGCGTTACACAATTCGAAATAACGATCCTCGTAGTCTGTCGATCTCTATTGTACTCCGCCAAACGCGTACAGACGATACAAACGATCGAGAAAGCGCCTTGATTATTCTTTCTTTCGCCCGAAAGCGTATTAAGCGGAAACAGGAGCGACAAATGGCGGAACTTTCAAAGATATTTTAGAAATGTTTCTAAATGTTTTTTAGACATCTCTCTGAAATATCTTTTAATCCGTAACCGGTACAATGGAGTACTAACTAATTTTATCTTCGTGGTAATTCTTAAACTATCCACTGTATGGCGTTAATATCTTCAGTGCCTTTCGAGTAACAATTTTCAGTGTGACAGAAGAAAAGATCATCGAGTTATTTGTAAACAGCTGTGAATTATATGCATTTGTTTTTCATCTAGGGTTACAGTGACCTCACTGTATTGTTAACGTTACTTTTATGAAAATAACTTTCTTAATCTTCAGCTCGATATGACTCATTCTTCACGCAAAAGAATAGAAGCTCTTGCCTTTTAGTTAGTAAAATCTGAACTTAAGAGACGTCTTACAACTCAATTTATTCATAAGCCATTGCATAATTTCATAATAATTTCATAATAATTTCATCTATGTTAACAATTGAAGAAACTGAAAGATCTAAAATTATTTTGCCATCCAGAGTAAGATGTAATGTTCTAGAAATAAAGATAAAGGATGAAGTCCAAAGAAATATATGTTAGATGCAATGAACCAATATGCACCAAATGTGCAAGCACTATCTGCAACAATTGCATTTAAAAACCCTCCAAGATTTTAATATTGTATTTAATTTAATAATATCTGTTTATATTTTTTATATAATCTATAACTTGTGCACTTAGATTAAAACATAATTTTTTTTCTTTTTCCGATTATTTGTCTTTCAATGTATTTTATTTCAACACTGTCCACATTGTGTTCATTTTATAATCAGTTAACGTTTTCTTTTAGATTATTGAAAAGCTAAGACTGTTATTATACAGTCTAGTTGTAATATAATATTCGTAAAGTATTATTTTCAAATTATAAAGCGTTTTTCTTTCTATCTTTTATTATCATGTTGAAAATGGCAAAAATTTATTGGAGTCCATTGGAGCTCACTGTATCTGTAGCTTGACTAAAAAAGTACCGTACCTGTTACGGATTAAAGTTATTTGTTTGCTTTCAACATCTTCTTTGTGTAAAAATCGCGCAACTAATAAATATCTGCTAATTTTCTTTTTAAGTTCGGTTAAGGGGATGTTGAAACTGAAAATTTTGCCGACAGAATAGTGACATTTTTCTGCAAGATTTACGTCGTATTAGTTGTACGGAATTACAAATGCTTTTACGCAATGAAAGTATGTGCAAAAATAAATAGGAACATTGCTCAATATGTGACGAAAATAAAAAAAGAAATTTTAATATAAAATCTCAAGCTGTTAGTTAGTCTAATATTTGCCTAATTCAAAATTTCCGCAACTTGAAAATGCCGAAAATGTGTAGATAAATCAAACAGAAAAATTTTAAAGAACATTACTGTACCTTTACATCCGAATTTTCCTTCGAATCTGAAGAAGCTTAAAAATATCGGAAAAGTTTACAGAAATATTTCTACACATATACATGGTTAGGTCTTTCACTGAATATGGTAAAACAAAGCAACACACATTATAAGTTCTATATGTACAAAAAATACGAAAAGAATGGCGTGATTGTATCAGTAACGATTGTTCCTACGTTATTGAAATTGTTTGAGTTCGTTATCGACTCCAACATTCCTTTATAGGACAATATTTCATTTATGCAGACATTGATGTGTCGCGGAGCGATTTCTATTCTTTATAATCTCTTCAGAGTTCTGGTGTCCAGTAGGCTGGACATTTTTTCCAGGCCCATGATCTCTTTATGCTTGAAGTGTGTAAAACTGCATGCCCAGCATGCTGGACCATTGATCAATGCGTGGAAAATTTTATCTTAGCAGCTTTGAAACCGGACAGTCGGCTGCATCGCAAAATATATATGCAAATAAAAAATTTAGCATGATAGAAAAAACATTTTTGTATTCTAGTGATCCTAAATTAAGAAGAATCTGACTTTTATAAAATTATGAAACAGTTTGTCTTGAAACCGAGAAAGATAAGTACGCATCGACCGATATTACGACCAAAAATAATTAAAAGTTAAATATCATCGAAACATTTCGTGTTCCTTGAGATACACACTACATTGTGTCGCGAGATTGATTTATTTCTTTGTGTTCTATACATTTTTGGTGACACTGACGGTTTGCTCATAAATACTATCAAACCAAAGTAAAAAAATGTATTCGTCAACAATCCATTGTGGTTTGTCATTTCATTTGAATTTGGCACAATTTTTTATTGTTACTGTCAACTGAGTTGGCACGTGTAGAATGCTGAAATTCTCGAAGCCAGGCGGATTAAGTTGGTATTTGGAACGCAAAGAGCTGAAGATACATTGTGCGCTATTGTGACGTCATCGCTGTCTTTCATTTTCCAATTGATCTGCATTTGAAAGAATCGTGATTCAATCCACTGTGGATATCTGCCGACTCACAGACGCCGAGCATTTACGTTTGCACAGGCCTTTACAATCATATTTCTGCGCGTAATTACATTTCGGCGCAGCGGTCGCGACGTAAAATTACGGTTTGTATCACACTTAACACTCGAGGTACACTAAGTCGGTACACTAAGCCGGCGTAAAGTGGGTCGTGTAAACGTAGTCATTGATGCGCAACACAGTGCTACTCTCAGGGTTGTACCGCGTTTCGTGACAATGCCTTGATTTGCCCCGGTGTTTATCTCGGCGCGACAAACGGAGTAACGTTGGCTGAGTTTTGACAAAATAAATAATCTCGCAGCGGTATTAACGAGAGGAGAGAAGGTCTTCATTGAATGAGATTTCTATAGACGGACAGAAACGTTTAATCGAGTCGGTAATCACGCTAATCATGTGCCGATATCGCGGGCGCGACAAGTATTTCCAATTCGAGGATATTTTTCCGGAATAAGTAGTGTGCTCAACAATTGCACGCCTGTTGCACCCGAAGACGTCGCGCTACATTTCCCAGACGTATTTTGCACGTTTCCAAAAGCGCGATACGTAGCCGCGCGGAATGATCGCGCGGCGAGCGTTATTTCAAGAGCTCTTTTAAATATCGCTTCCTCATTCCACGAGTTTTCCAAGAGGGTTTTTCTACAGAGACGATGGTTCAACATCGCCGCGATAAGGAATGCGAAAACGCCACCGTGGGCGTTCTCACGGAAGGAAATGTCATCCGTTCGCAATGAAGCAGAATTTTTCGCCTCGCTTCTCTTAACGGCAAGTTAGAATTTCTCTTACCGAGTACCCCGAGAGCTAAAGCGAACCCGAAATTCCTGCCGAGGTGAGTGTACTCGGCACGTTGTACCACGGGGGAAAGAAAACTCGACGCGAGGAAGCATTAGGAACTATTTATCAGTTGACTTTCCACCCCTCGTGTACACCTCCTCCTATTTAGTAGAAACGTTGCTTGGTCAAGGAAGAAAAAAGCGTTTCGAGTTACGATAGTCGATTAGGTCTCGCGTTCCGGGAAGAAACAAGCTCTCGATGAAAGTTGCCATTTGTAGGAGTCGTGTTGACAAAATCCGGACAACGCAAGTGTCTAGACGACATATTTCTGTTTTGTTTCCTCTTTTTTCTTTTGAACGTCCTTTAGATATCCGTTACTTTAGACATTCGTATGCAAAGTCGTCACTTCACGGAGAGTATGAAATTTTTATTCGCATATTTTATTTATGAATCACTTTGAGTCGTTCTCTATTTTTGTTCAGCGGGTTGACTAAAAGGAAAATGTGAATTCGCGTGACGCACAATTTAATGTGCGATTTACGCGAAAGAGTATTTCGGATGCACACAGTGGGTGTAATTTGTTCCGTTACGTGCGCGACACGCACTTCATGCATAATAACCGTGAGGTAGATATTACTTTTCAAGCAATTACGCCGTGGTTGTTTACGCTCGTGTTTACCTCGCTTTGTGCGCCTTCACGTCGATAGCCGCCGATGCGCGTTACGCAGGACAGCCGTGTCGCGACGCCATTTTTCTGCGCAGAGATCCTGCAACGAGAGAAACACGCCGTAAGCGTCAAGAGTTTATTTATTTTAAATTTGTCGGAGTCAGTTAAAAAATGTTTATTTATACGCTACAGTGAGTAATGCGAATCGCGCTAAGATCGCATGAATAATTGCGCAGTTACCTCAATAAATCTCCGTTATTGCGATAAACAAGTGAGCCTCTCTCTCTGTGCAAAATTCACCGGTGCGGAAATTATAAATACTTGATGGAGCTTATGAGCTTTAACGTCGCGCGCGGCTACGCGTAAACCGCCGCTGTCGTGCATCTTTCAGCGCGGATGAAATTTCGCACGTCGTTTCTTCGTGATAACGCGGAATCAACGGGCTTTGAGAGTCCTCCGTGCGCGGACCCGTAGATCGGCAGAATGGCCGGCACGTTCTGAAATTAGCGGGAACAGCCGGTTACGCTCGCTGAAAAATAGCGAAAAAGGAGGAGAGGAGGTATAAAACGCGCGATAAAACGGAGGAGAGAAACGAGGAAGGACACGTACCATCCACCTCTCTCTCTCTCTCTCTCTCTCTCTCTCTCTCTCTCTCTCTATCGAACGATATACTGCAGATATCGTCGCGCGTGTATCAAGTCCCGGCGCGTGATCCGTAGTATCCGTTCCGCTTGGCCCACCGAAATCGTATTAATTCTCGAAAGAGTACTTTACTCGTGATTTAACTCCGCGCATTCGACGTCGTGAGCGGGCGCGCCCGAGTTACGCCGTGGCCATGCATCAGAGGCGTGTGTAGCCCGCGGCGCAGACGTAGGTAACTACATTAGCTCCCTTCGTGACGCTCGGTAGGGTCCTTTGAGGGTGGTGTGGGTGCCGAATACCAATCAGTTATGTCAATTGGCCCCAACAAAGTAATGAATGGTAATTGCAAGCCGCCGGCTCGCACGTCCGTCTCTCCTCTCCTCTCCTCTCCTCTTCCCTTCTCCCTCTCCGCATCTACGCCTCCGCACACTATCCACCCCTTTGACCGATTTCAAACACGCACACACCACCGGCGCCGCCCTGCACAGGGCTCGTATCCATCGCGAGCGGACCCCACGCGCCGGTCACCATCGATTTTAAACCGTCTAATCGGATTTTCACGCGGAACACGGCCCGGGCGACGCTAATCATCGGCGGGCTCGCGTGAATCGACGTATCGGACAGCCCCGTGAGCCGTTGGAAAAGTTCGCGTGCGATCAGTCGGTGAGGCGGACGAACCGAGTTCGATCACTCTACGGGATGAAGGTAATTTTCATTGGTATAAAATATTCTTCTGGGAAAGAGAGAGAGAGAGAGCACTCGACGGTCCGACTTAGTTCGGCATTTTTGACGAGCTTCACTGATATCTTCGCGTAACAATAATTAGATATCTAAGCTGTATATCAAAGAATGATTAATATTAATATTGAGTTAGTTTACATAAATTAACACTGGCTACATGGTATTAATCCTTCGAGCGCACACAACCGGTGGAAAACATCAAGGGCATATAGCAAATAGGGCGTATAGGTGCAAATTTGCAGCGCCAGCATTTATTTGCGGATTTACCGTTCGATTTCATGGATGAATTTTAAATTTTTACTTTTTTTGACATAAAAAAAAGATTCAAGATTTGACGATGATGGTATAAAAATCGGTGAGAAAGTAACGAAAAAATGAAAAATTGATATACATTCGATTGTATCTCGAAGAGATCACTTTTTATAGAAATCGATGATGCAAATTTGCGCCACCATTGTACGCTCGAGAAGTTAATATAGTTAATATTTTCATAAACACGGATAATCTTTCCTCTCCTTTTGTTTCTTCCTTCTCTTTCAAGGGAAGAGCGCTTTTATCAACGTCTTATCAATTAAAGTGGTCGTAAAGTTACGTTATCAACCTCCTAAAATTTTCTCTCTCGCTGATGTACTCGGTGTCGTTTTAAAATTCGCTTAGCGGAATGCACCTTTTTTCTGTAGCGCCGGAAGATTTAAAGGAGCGGCATGGTGCTTTGCACCCAATGACGCGGCACGTTTTCCAGACATGTGGCGAAAGAAAAACGAGGATCGCCTGCCCGCCTATCTGTTATCTGGTAATTACGTGGCGTAATTACGAATCTTGCACGGTCGGCCGGCCGACCTCGGGCGCTCGGAAGGTCAGAAAAATAGGATTCCACCGGTGATTATGTTTTGCATTTCCGCGCGCAATTACGCTTGATTGCCGCCGGCAAATTCTGGCTCGCGGCGGTTTTCCCCGAGCGAAGTACACTCTCCCTCTCTCTTTCTCTCTCGCGGCGAAGCTACCGGTAGCGTCACGTCATCGTGACGGCGCGAAGAAACGCGCTCAAACCTAGCCTCGTATCTTTATTACCGTTATAAAGCGGACGTGACACGGGGAGGGATTCCTCGTGAACTAAACTTCGCGCTCATTTCCATCTCACTCGTTAGCGGCCCTCGTCTTTGAACGAGCCGTGACGAAGTTACGCGAGTATACTCGCAGTTTATAGTGTGACGCGATAGGATGCTGCTGTATCCTCGTATCTTCTCTGTCTCGACGACAATGAAGCTTGCTATTAACCGCTCGGCACAATTACACGCGGCAGATACTTCGCCGCGGTCCACTTACCTTATTCAAATGATAAACGTACTGTCGTGTGGTAAAGGAGACCTACTGTAATCGCGCGCGTGTATAGATACATAAATTTACGTCACGAGGGAGAAGTACGGAAACATTATTTCGATTTAGTCTACTTTGAATGAAACGGATGCGCCAAAAAAACATTTTGCTCTTTCGACTTTGCCTTTACAGAAAACGGAAATTCTATTTTTGGAGCTGTATGTATTGGAAATCGAAGATTTGACCTTTGTGTCAAGCGTTGTTTTGTTACGTGCAGAAAAGCGTGTCTCTCTCTCTTTTTCTAAATTTGTCCAAATAGGACAAACGTTTCCAAATAGGAAACGTAACAATTTCGCCATATCCTGTTTATCGGTGAGTGTTTTGAAATTGCGATTGGAATAATTGCGAGACTGGAATTGCTCGTGTAAACGACGCATCGTGTACCGCATGTGTTTGCATTAATCACCAATGATAATGAAATGATTGTTTGCCGAAAGTTTTCTTCAATGTGATCCGACTGCCGCTTATGATTGAAATCGATTTATTTGGGAATTACTGTGAACACACGCGTTACGTGTAAACATCCGGAGAATTCATGATACTGAAACAGTGAGACGCCGGTAAACATTGATCGACTCACGAAATTGAAATTCAACGGCACACGCTTGTTTACCCATTATATCCCGTTGCATCCATAATCAATCGGGGAAGATGTCCTTATTTTGCGGGGTATGTGTTTCCGATGCGACCCTTTCCTGCACTTTCATCCGCATAGAAAATACTTTGAGATTTAATTGAGATTCAGCCCGATTTTCTACAGTAATCATAAATTCTAAATCTATGCAGGTTAGAAGTGTAATGTTTTAAACATGCGAATCTAGGTGGGAAACCCAGACAGATTCTATTTCATACCCAACGTTTCCCCAACGATTTTTTTGATTTATAGTTTAAAATACTATTTACTTAAATAAATTATTATTTAATTAAATAATACTAGTTTAAACTAAAATTGAGCGAAATATATGGAACACTTTAAACATTTACTCGTTACAAGTATATATACATACACATACTTGTAAAGAATAAATACTCAGTGTTTGCTAAAAAATTTATTATAAAGAAAAATTGTAATTCAAACTAAGAAAAAAAAAAAAATATATATATATATACATCCAACAAATTTTTTCGACTTACAAATGTATGAAGTCGTCAAATTATTCTTAGATGTACAAATGTATTTTATATATGATGTATAAATTATTCTTGATATTCACGTGTATTTTATATATGATGTATAAATTATTCTTAGATGTATAAATGTATTTTATATTCCATATAAAATGAGAATGTATTATTTTGCGTTTTAACATCGATGTAAGCCAAAGAAAACATTTGTCTTTATTGCATTAATAAAACTGATGCAGGAAACACTTAAAAAAGTTCGAGTTTTGTTAATATTTCTGTTTCTGATTCTAGAGAAAGAACTCATGTTTGACAAAAATGAGATTCTTAATTGATATTGTAAAGAGATAATTTATTTTGGGACAAAGTTGGGCATTTTGTTTGGAATCTAACTTGTATTTGGAAATTTGGGAAAATACCAAGAAATTTCTATGCGGATACCCGCTGGACAGTGGTTAATCGTTGTCACGCACACCTGTAAGTGTAAGTAAAACTGCGAATGCAATCGTACGTATAACGCGCCCCACTTTTCCTCCTCTTACTTTTTTCACGAATGAGTTTTTAATTAATTTAACTTAAATAATTCAATAAATTTGCAATTGATTTCTTTTTAGCGAAAATGTCAAGGCAACAGTTTCCTTCGAATCAGCAGCGATCGAAAAAGCAGAGTTTTCCGCAAACCAAACTTTAGGGAATAATCAAATAGGAAAATTAGTTTCTACCAGTTAATTTCAAACTTAATTGGTTTCAGCAAAATACGTTTCAATGAAGTTTTAATTTGTGCCTCAGAGAAAGACATGCAATATTGAAAGTTGGAAATTGTGATAGACAATGATTTCCCTTGACGTTTTAATAGGAAAAGATCGACTTTGATTCGTTCAGAGAATCTGTCATTATGAAATAACACGGTGAAATCGAGACGAGGTTGAAAAGTGATCTCAAACGCGATATCATTTTACGTTATTTCTATATGCAAAAGTTCGTATCTAAAGTTACGTTCCGTATGCTGACGAAACATCGTATCGTTTCGATATTCATGATGCGCGTTTCCAAGCAAAGTCCGACCAGACTTTTAATGGAGCGACGACAACGTTGGCGAATGCAGGCCTCTTCGCTCACAATGCCCACGCAGTAACAAGGTTCGTGTAAAGTGCTCGCAAATCAGACTCGATAAAATGGTAATCGCACTCGCGGCGGCGGAAGGTTCATTCGAACGTC